TGAGCAGGACAGCAGGATTTGGTTAGAAACAGAGAGGAGCTAAAGCAGGAAACAATATTATGCACATAAAAAAATGGATAGTATTTATTCGATCCTTAGGTTGAAATTTTTAAAAGAAGAGCCCCAGACAGTTCCTTGCATGTTATTAGTTGAGGAATTTTGAAAGTAGGCAACATTATCGGAAAGAAAGCAATTACAGAGTAGGCTAGTTTTCTACAACTGATGGAAAAGCTTCTATCGAGGGCAGTTCACATTTTACAGAATGTTGATTGGGATAAATACTGCATAACTAGAAAAATGGGAGTTTGGAAGGAGCAATTTCTCCAGCTGTTAGAACACAGTGAGGAAAAGGTCCACTCTGTTACAAACTACAGAGAAACCCGAGTCCTCTGAGCTGCTTGATTAAGATGCGTGAGGAGGACCTCCAGGAGGTCACATCATGAGCTACACTGCTTAGTCAAAGCAGACATGCGAGAAGTGACTTATAGTGTGGCTATCAAGGGAAGACATTTGAGCCTAAATTATGGTAGAGTTTGAGCTTCAGAATATGGGTAAGGAAACCACTTGGTAGAGATGTGCGGTGAGTCATCACGGACATCACCCATATGGCTCCTAGTCCCTTAGGAGGGGTTGTTAGTGCCACAGAATCAGGCATTAGTAAAAGATCATCCCACCCACAAAGCCCTTTTGAGGACACATTGGAGAATCCGGTAATGCAGTTACCTTAGATGGCTCTAAGAGGTGCCAAAAAATATCAGACCAGTGTTTGCATTTGTGGTATTGCTTGCTGGAGGTTATACTACAGTAGCCAAGCTTTTGGAGGCACATGTTCCTTTAGGTTCTGATGAACAAGGAAATAACTTTTCTGTCTTGGATAATAAGGAAGAGAATCTAACCTGAGAGATCTCACAAGACATCTGAGGTGCACCCTTCACAAAGCCAAAAGACTGTGGTTACTTAAGGGGAAATTCAGCCTAGAATACTGTGCATATTTGGCAAAATCAATTGATTGGGATAATTTTATATAACTTTTATATTCGTTTAGTACAGAAATATATTTTAAATCACAAATCATTTGTTAGAACTCATTGCAATTAATTGTTTTGCACAATAGGGTGAAGAGTTGCTACTCCAAAAAATTGACCATATAGAAGATATGAGTTGACTGTTCATACTAATTTTTTAAAGTTAATATACCCAAACTTACCTATCGATCATAGTCGTATTAACTAGTATTCATGGCCTGCCTTTTCTGCATGTCAGTACCTCCCTTCTAAAAAAAACAATCAAGGAAGTCACTTGAAGGGTCTGTTCTGTAGAACAATGTGACATCACATAGAGTGTCCCAATCTTCAACCTAGAACCTGTGTATTAGGCTCCAAAACACAAACTAGAGACTATTCCCTGGTTTGGAATAAGCCACAGGATATACCGGTCAAGTAAGGGTCTCTCTTTTTGAAATAAGCACACACGCACCTAAAACCAAGTGGGCCATGGCACAGATCTGGGTGTGTGTGTTTGTTTTTCTGTTCAGAAATCTAACTGAAATCATCTAACCCCCCTTGCTCAGCTTAGTGGTAGCATAAATGTCTAAAAGAAATCTTCGTGTAGTTGCTTTCCTGGAGCACATGGTGCAATATTGGTGATAAATAAGAAATCAAGAACTTATAGGGATAGGCTGTTTCTCATGATGTCATCCAATTACATAGAGCAGCAACTATAAAAGAAATATGCTGTTCCTGTATCAGAAGTATTTCACTTCTGGGTGGCATTTTTATTAAAAACAGTGCTCTGGGGACAGCCCCGTGGCCTAATGGTTAAGTTCAACACGCTCCCCTTTGGTGGCCTGGGTTTGGTTCCTGGGCACAGACCTATACCACTCATCGGCAGCCATGCTGTGGCAGCGACCCACATACAAAATAGAGGAGGCTTGGCACAGATGTTAGCTCAGGGCGACTCTTTCTCAGGAAAAAAAAAAAAACAAACAGTGCTCTGTACCATAAATGGGTAAATGGGTTTTCATAAGATTGGGTGCACTCTTGTCCCCATTAGACTGCAATCCCTATGAAGTAAAACCCTGTTTTATCCACCACTGTATCCCTAGTTCTTAACAATGTACCTGCACATAGTAGGTGCTCGATAAAAATTTCAACTGCTAAATAGAGCAAAGGGAATTTTAATACAAGAAGGAAGCTGTTAGAATTTTATATCATTTCACAGGGAATACTGGGGCACCCCCATTTCCCTGAAACAAGGAGCCAGCAACTATTTTAAAAATGTGTGGTTTCTACTGGTTATAATTCTTGTTTTAAAATAAGAAATTTGTTTTCCTAAGATAGGAGACACCTGCCAGCATACAAACTGTTTTAGCTACTTACCGTTTTGCTTTTAGAGGGGGAAAAATATCTTAATGACAGCACAAAATCATGTAGTAAATATAAGTGGTTTTTTGAAAGATTCAACTACATCCAGTTCCATTTGTTTCACTTTAAATGATATATTTGCAAACATCTTGTTGCTCGCTTGATGTTTACCTCATCATTATCTGTTTTTAGCAGGCTTTTTTGTTGCCTGAGATTGCTTTTTCTTCGACAGAGCGTAGTCTAGATGAGTGAAATGTACTGGAAACTCTTTACCACAGATATAGGGACGCTTGGCCTTTCAGCGAGTGTGGAGCTTCGGCGCTCGCTGGGAATTGCCACCTCACTGCTTCATTCATACCTGCCTGTAGTGAACTTCTGGAATGCACCCAACCTGGTCATCATCTTTCTCTGGAAGAAATGGTGCTCATGGAGGAAAATGGTCCTTCGCATTACTCACTGTGTCAAGTAAACTGTTTTTTTAAAATAAAGTTAAATTTCAGTCTAGGAGCTAGTCTTTATAAGGCCTCTAGATTAAAGTCTGTCCTCCAAGTGAGGTCCCACAAAGTGCCAGCACCAGAGTTTATTATACTCTCTTGCCCTATGAAGTTATGGGAGGCAAAATCCTAAAACCTCAGATGTTGTTGGAGAAAACATTCGATGCCACCAGGGCCTTTCTACATCTGCAGAGAGTGAGATCTTTGCTTCTCTTTGTCTGAGTTTCTTATTTGTCTTTAGAAGTCAAAGTGAGGCATCCCCAGCCACAGCAGACACATACTCTCCTTACTCTTAGGAGGGTTTGCCCTTGATCCCCTCCTTCTATGTGAGTGCTGTATTCTCTCAGCCCTAATTTCCATCTCTCCCTAAATGGCCCAGTTGTAGAATTAAAAGCATCAGTGATTAGAAAGCTCTCTTGCTTCATTGCATCCATTTACTTTACCTTCTGTGATCGTTGGTGAAGGTAGAAATTTCCCAAAATCAATACTTTTTTTTGGAAAGATAAAGAGTGTAGTTCATCTACAGTCTAGGATTTAGCCCCGGTCCATCTTGCGACACAACCCAGTTTGCCGTTCTGTGTTCAGGAAAGCCTGGGAGTGGAGTCAGAAGGTAAACAAAGGCCCCCTTTGTGAAAGGTAAGGCCCAGACTTTCTGGTGTTCTCACCAGCCCATCACAGTTTTGCTCTCACCTCCTCATACTGTAGTGCACTTGCTGTTCAGAAGTGAGCGCCCATTCCAGCTGTCCCTCTGGAGCGGTTCACGCCAGGGAGAGGAGAAAGGAGCGCCAGACAACAGCCTACACAGCTCGCCGAGAAGGAATTACAGTTGGGTTTTATGTTGTGTTTTGTTTTTTGCCAGAGAAGTGTTGAGAGGCACTATTGCTTCCACCCTGTCATTAGTGGGTGGGTAATAGTGATATAAAATAAGAGATGAATTAGGATAATAAGGGGCAAAGGAGAAAGGAGTAAATTTTCCACAAGTAATATTTTTCCCTTCATGGTTATTTAACTTTGAAACAGAACTTGAAAGTAGTAATCACAGTTCTACAGTAGACAAAGGACAGATTGTGAGAACCAGACAGGAAGGTGTGATTGGCTTTATTACATTAACTAGAAACATACAAAAACATGCACCCCTTTCAGGAATACACTGCTATTTCCGTTATGAAAAGCCAAGGAAAAGTCATGGGTGGCCTACTATGGTTTGCCTTTTTGTTTGTTTGTTATTAATTTTTCTTCTTTTTTTTTTAACTAATGAATATGTATCCCTGTAAAATAGTTTCAGCAGCTTTTGCTTTTCTATGTTAGTTTCTTGAGTTGTTCGTTGGATCATTTTATGATGTGGATATATAGTAAAGCAACACCAAGTGGGGTGGTAAATGGCTCAGAAAAGCCTTTAAATAGAGTGGGCAGGTGTTTTCAGCTTTCTCACAACAGCTATCTTCAATGCTGTATCCCAAAGATAAACAGATAGTATTCATTCATTGATTCAACGAAGATGTCATAAGCGCCTACAGCATGCCAGACGCTTAGGCACTGGAGATACAATGATGAACAAAACAAATGTGCCTGCCCCCATGGGGCCTACACTCTGGAGGGGAGACAGACACCAAACAGATTACCACACTCGCAAATTGTTCTGAATGCTGTGAATAAAAATATGGTGTGAGCAGTATAAAGGGGAACTTGTTTTCTACCCAGGGAAGTGAAGGCCTCTCTGAGGAATTACAATGGGAAGCTATGAGAGCATTTTTAAGTTGGGAGAGGAGAGGCTGACACAATCCTTTTTACATTTGAAGATTTATAGAGGTGGAATCGGAGAGAGCCCAGAATGAAAAGAAGTGGATCTGCACTTAAAGTGCGGAAGTGAATCAAAAGATTCCTTTCCTTTGCTTCCTCAGAATAGCTCTTTAAAGGTTTTTATTACTCTCTGGTTTGAAAATAATAACTAATGTATTTTCTGTACTGTATTTTTCACCAGTGGATGACCGTACAGGGGTCTGAGTAAGCTTTGCCTTAAAGCGTTCTATCACTTCCCTTATAGCACTAACACTGCTCCTGTTAAAAAAGAAATTCAGTTCCGTTTTGTCATCTGTACACACACATGATTTTGGTTTCATGTTATTTCTCCCTATTTATTCAGCTCCTACAGAACCTTTATTGTGTAAGTTTGCGGATGGAGGACAGAAGAAAAGACAGAACCCAAACAAATACATCCCTAATGGAAGACCATGGCATAGAGAAGGAGAGGTGAGACTTGTAAGTCCTTTCCTGAAACTTTAGTGCGGGTGTCTGATCATGAAGGCCTACATGAATGGTGCCAGATTTAAAACTTTGTAGTCCAGATAATGTTAGATTAAAACTCTTCCCAGTGGATATGGTGCTAGGAGAGTGACGATTCTCTAGACAGACAGACAGACGTAAAAACAGCTATGTTTACCAGTTAACGACATATAAAGTAAAAGAGCATTTTACATTGCTGTAAGAAATGCACGTGTTTTTGTTTTTTGGTGTGTCATGGTTTCTTAGATTTACGTTTATAATTATTCAGAAATCATGCTAAATAACATTATTAAAATAATTAGTATATTTGTTGTTGAGTTTTTTGGTCTAATTCTTTAGAATAATGTTTGTTTTTTTTTTTTTTTTTAAAAAAAACAAAAAACTCAGGGCCAGCCTGGTGGCGTAGCGGTAAGTCCGCACACTCTACTTTGGCGGCCCGCGGTTCCCAGGTTCAGATTCTGGGAGCAGACCCACGCATTACTTGTCAAGCCATGCTGTGGCAAAGTCCCATATAAAGTAGAGGAAGATGGGAATGGATGTTAGCTCAGGGCTAATCTTCCTCACCAAAAAAAAAAAAAAAAGAAAAAAAGCTCAATTTCATAATAAAGATGTTAGACCTCCATTTCCTCATATTTATTTCCAATGAATTTCTTTTTTTCTAAAGTAACATACTAGTGCAAGAATGTCTAGGGAACTGCTGTCTAGTAGAAATATTCTAGAATCTGCACTGCCCAATGATAACCACTAGCCACATGTGGCTATTTGAGCACTTGAAATGTAGCAAGTATGCTGGAGGGACTCAATTTTTCTTTTCATTTTAAATAGCTGCATGTGACCAATGGCTACCATGTGGGACAGTGCAGATCTAGAGCTTAATTGTCATATTGAGTTTATAATTATGTCTGTCTAACAGAAACTCTCAATTTTATCAAATGCTACTAAACTATCACTGTTTGATGTTGCCATGACTCTAAGAAATGGAATGTTTAAATCATGCCTTTGCAGATGAATGTTTCTATTTCTTTCTCTTTCCCATAGGCTGGAATGACACTTACTTATGACCCAACCACAGCTGCTATACAGAACGGGTATGTCATTAAGATAAATACATAATGGCTTGAGGGAAAATGTGAAGGTGGAAAATAGCAGACATTTGTTCCATGAATTGTTCTGTTTAAAGGATTACTTAATAAAGGCTTTTGTGTTTGTTCTAGATTTTATCCTTCACCATACAGTATTGCTACAAACCGAATGATCACTCAAACTTCTATTACACCCTATATTGCGTCTCCTGTATCTGCCTACCAGGTTTGTACCTTTAGGATTCATCAAGAGTGTGACAACTTGCTGACCACGAATCATTGCTACCTTTTTATGTGTCTTAAAGTTTTGAAGATTTATAATGAAATTTAAGTCAGATGTTATGTAACTTGGATACCCAATTTAGAAGGAGCTGCTTGTTATTTGAGAGTGATTTACTTTTACATATAGGAGAACGTAAAACAAGGGGAAATGGTTGTCAGTTGTCAGTCCTTGAAATCAGAGCATTTTAGAATTGGGATGAACCCGAATACTTCCTCCACAACAGGGCCTGCCGTGGACCCTGTGTGTCCCAGAAATTGAAGCTTAAGGAGAATTGCCATTAGGTAAAATACAGGAGAGGTGTGCACCTACCTTTGTTTATTCGTCAGCAGGAACTGACAAAAGAGCAAGGAAACATGCTAATAAATAAAGATGTGTCTCTATTAGATAACATTAAATGAGCTGTGCCATGAGATTGGAGGCTGAAAAAAAAAGGGGAGGGGGGAGGTGACTCCCTGTTTAGGTTATTTTGTGAAGAGGCCTTACCTTAAAATAAATTCCCAACTTAGAACCAAGATCTCATTAAGCACCTTGTTATAATATTGATTTGGTTTTATTGCAGGGTTAGCTCCTATTCTCCATGAACCCAGTGGTGTACATGCATTTCTCCTCCTTTATCAGAGTGCGTCTAACAGGCTTACTGCCTTGGCCCAGACAGGAACTTCATAACGGAGTTCAGTTGTAGACATGTGGGAATACAGTTCTCTTTTGTTGACTGTTGAGATCATGTGTGACTAAACTAAACTTTTGTGTATTCTTGTTTTTAAAACAATTGAATTAGATGTTGTAGCCCTGATTTCTGGGGTTAGAGGACTGCAATATCTAATAACTGTGTTATTTTACCTCTGTAAGCCTCAGTTTCCTCATCTTTAAAATGGGGATAATAATAGTTTCTATTTCATAGGCTTCTTACAAGAACTAAATGAGACTAACTGTGTAAATAGCTCAGCACAGTACCTGGCATATCATTAGCTCTCAATAAATGTTAGCTCTGACTATCATCATTAATATGCAGGATTAGCGGGCTGTTAAGAGTATATTCCTTATACTTTTTTAAAATAATGGATTGGTCAACATAAACAATATCATAAAGGTGGTTCTGTCTAAAACATAAAAGTAGCTTTGAATAACAAAGAAAAGTGATTAAATGCACTAAAACTAAAGTTTGCAAGTAGCGTTCAGAGCTTCCCTCAGCTTTTAGGTTCTTTTCTCTTCCTTTCCCTGAGTTGTCACTTATTTTCTTTTCTCTTAGCTCTCTGATTGTTATGTTACTTATGCTGGTGCTTCAATCTGCTGGACATAGTATTCACTCACTTAATGCCTCTTTAATTATTTTGGACTTCAGATTTCTGTTTTCCTTGCCTGTATAAGCCTCAGTGTGATCTGCTGTGGTGCATTTTCTCTAATTAACAATTACTGTGTCTGATTTTGAAAGGTAGTCTTTCTTAACTATCTGAACTTGGAAACCTCTGCCATTTATGTATATTACTAAAAAATAGAGACATGTAAGCTTATTCTCAGGCAAATGAAAGATTGTGCATATTAATTTGAATGTATGCTGCTACAGATATTACAGCTATTAATGCATCTCCCCACCACCTCTTTTCCCCTCTTTACTATAAAAATGATGAGCGTTTTGGCCACAGAATTGTTTCATAGAATAAAAAAATTGGGAGACCAGTGTTGGTAATAGATTTGACATACCTACCTGGAAACAGTATTTCATTTCAAAGCCTGATTTCTTCTCCTGAGCATTCTGTCTTTCCCTAACATACATATGGAATTTCATTCCATTGGCCTGACACTCAGTGCCATAACTTCTAAGGCTGATGCTTAACCCCGTAAATTTAGGGACCCAGTAGGGTCAGTGGATGAGCTTGAAGTGGTCTGTGATTCCCCTAAATTGGTTGCAAAATGTGGCTTGTGTATATGCAATTAGTTGGGAGAAAAGGTGTATTTCTTTCATCAGGTTTTCAAAGGGATCATGACCCAAAAGAGGGTAAAGAACCAATGGTTAAGAGTTCATAGAACATAGATTATTATTCCCATTTTACAGTTAGGGAAAATTGAGGACTAGAAATTGACAGCAGCTGATTTGCTGCTTAAGAAAGAAAATTGGATTAGATGTCATAGCTCCCTAACCTCATAATGCTGTAAGCTATTAGATTATTAAGACCACTGAAGCATACAAGAAATGGGAGCCTCTGGCCCAAATTGAGGTCTATAGGGAGCTGCTCGCCTCCCCATGATTTATTCAGTGAAGGCCTTGCACTCATGTTGGAGTGGGCCTTTCTCCACTAAACCACCATATGCTTATACAATTGGATTTGAGAAATTGGCATCTGCAAGAAACCACCAATACCCCGATGGGGAAAGGCTGCAGTCCAGATAACTGAAATGTTAACAAGGCAGAAGCACTTAACTTTGGTCTGCCTTAGGTGGCAAAGGAAACCAGAGAAAACAAGTATCGGGGCTCTGCTATCAAGGTAAATCGCAATACATTCTTCCCCCATGACTCTTCCCCATATCCTCTCTATAGAACCTCTGAAGTTAACAGTAGGGGATAACATACAAGAGGGGTTTGTTGTTAAAAATTAGAGACTGAAACTTATTTTAAAAATTACATGGTCTCAGGAAAGCTCTGGGTATCAAGAAATGGACCGATATTTTTTTGTCTTGAGTGGCAGACTGCACGTGCTTTCTTTCCTGCCATGGAACCTGACTCTCACATCTTATTTCTCAGTCCAGAGGGTCTACTGTGTGGATGCCCTTTTGACTGTAGATGTCAGGATTTAGTTACTGAAGTTTAATTTCCTAAATCTCAATTTCAGGTTTTTATTTTCCATACTAACTAGAAGTTGTTAACCACCAGACAAGATTTCTGAAACCTAATGTCCTGGATATCAAAGAAGAATTGAATTTGGTTGTTTTTTTTAAAAGAAGCACATACTTTAAGGATTAGTTCTGATAAGATGTGCTGAAATTAATTCTCATTCATCTGTATTCCTAAAGCACCTAGTTCATACCTTGATTATAACACTTTTCACTATTTATTTGAGTTGGTGTCTTGTTTATCTGCCTTGCTTAGACAGTAAATTTCTTGAGGGTGGGTCCCGTGTCTTATTGGTCTTTTTCTCTTTGCTGTCTGATACTCAGTAAATACTTCTTGAGTGGGCAAATGGAACTTGGTTTTAAATAATCATTTCATCCTATTCAGAGTGACCAGTTTGCCAAGAACTCTACCTACCTTAATCTGTTTAATCACTGATAGTATTGTTTCCTTATTTTCTTTCTGTAGATTTTAACATGATTAAAAGAGTTCTAGAGAAATAGGTAGCCTTCCAATGGAAATCAATGTTTCTTTCAAATTCTCCTTTTCCAGGTGCAAAGTCCTTCTTGGATGCAACCTCAACCATATATCCTACAGCACCCCGTAAGTTTTTCATCTTAATGGCTTTGTGGTTTGCAAGTAAGCTATGTATACATTAAAACTATTCTCTGGGTTAAAACCATTTGCCAAAGATGGTATGGTTTGGGAAATTTTAAGCATGGAATATGAGAATGTACAAGTTCATTATAAAACTTCCCTTCACCCTTGTCTTAAAACAAATTGGTAATTAACATTTAAGTTAAATTTGCAATCTGTAAGAACTTAAAATACATCGTATTTGAGGCAGGACACCATTTTCTTCCTCGTACCAGTTCTGTAGGAGATCATTCAGTTGAGTTTTTAAATTTTGAAGTTTTTAAATTGCTAAATTTTTAACAGTACATAGGATGAAACAGCTGTCATCTTTCATATTCTGTTTAATGCCAATATAAAGTAGCGTTCAAAATTGAGCTAGAGGGCCGGCCGGGTGGCATAGTGTTAAGTTCACGCACTCCACTTCGGTGGCCTGGGGTTCTCAGGTTTGGGTCCTGGGTGTGAACTGATGCACCACTCATCAAGCCATGCTGTGTCAGGCGTCCCACATAAAGTAGGGGAAAAATGGGCACGGATGTTACCCCAGGGCCAATCTTCTTCAGCAAAAAGAGGAGGATTGGTAGCGGATGTTAGCTCAGGGCTAATCTTCCTCACACACACACACACACAAAAATTGAGCGAGAGATTTTCATCAGTGTAAGCCTCTCTGTGAAAATTATAGATACCAAAGTAGTAACACCTTCTTTGGTAAATAATAAGTGTGATTTCTTGAGTGATATGAGCATTTGTTATACTTATGTATGTATTACATTTTTTTAATTGAATGAGTTACACTTCACCTATTAGATAGTATATTTAATGTGTTTTTCAAAGATACATAAAATCCAGTTTGTTGAATTAAAACATAGATTTAAAAGTTGATAAATAAAGATGGAGAATGAAATCACAAAAAAAAGTTAAGAATGCCCAACACAGTGACCTGCATATTTGCCATGAGAGGGCCACAAATTTGGCCCTAAGCTTTCTAGTAACTAATGCAAAATGGGAATCTTGATAAGCAATACAGTTCACAGTACTTATAAGATAAAAACAGATCCATTGCTGAGGAAAAGCACACAATTCTTGGCCTCAAGATGAGATGGGAATTTCTCTCAGGACACCTCTTCAAGAGGACGCTGCACAGTATAAGACCGTGTGTATGAAACAGCACCCCAGGGATGAGTTCTGAACAGGAAGTTGCTGAGATGACTTTGAAGAAGCAGATAAACATGTTTAGTTGATAACACAGAAGAGCTCTCTGATGATGTCTGTGTGTATGTCATGTGTCTGTATAAAACACACACACGTATGTCTCTACATGCACACATACTTATGCACATGTACATCCACAAACCCACACATACTTACACATGTGTACATATTGACACCCACAAATCCACACGTACACAAATGCCCATGTCAATCTGTGTCCCTAGTACTTTGTGCTGTCCTGTGTTGGAATGCTGGAAGTCAACTCACTTTTCGTTTAGGGTCTTCCTAGTACAGTAGCTGCTATAGATGAAGGAAAAAAGGAGTAGGAAAATCCTTCAGCATATTCTGGGCTTCTGAGTCATTTCCATGTCACCACACACTTTTTGATGATGCACATTAAAAATTTTCTTAAGAAGTGTATTAACAAACCATTTCTGACACACGTCTATATGGTTGGGTTTTTTTTTTTCTGGCAACTTTTAGACAAAAAGGCTGCACATTTCTCAGTTGAACTTCTCCAAGGAGACCATAGTGTGTATGCAGAAGGTTCCTATCTGAGGACTCATTCTCTTTCCCTATGAGTTAGACTGCCTGCAACCAGAATTAAAGGGCCTACACACGAATCTCTGCCCTCAATTGTGTATCTGATTATCACTAAATAACAGTGTATTTAAGGGATAAGTCAGGTCCAGTGATACCAAAAACATAACATTAATATTTGTAGGGTGTGTTGGAATAATTGCATTCTCAGGTAACTGGGTGGTGGCAAAAGTGAGAGAAATTGTATAATCCATAAGAATATTATATAGGATAAATGAGAGAAAATACAAAAATCCAGAAATAGGATTAATTAAATTTGGGTTTATACAATCAATGTGCTGTTACGTAATCGTTAAAAATGATAATGACACCTATGGAGTAAGTTAGATAAATATTTATAATAGGATATTTAAGTTAAAAGCAAAACCCAGGATATGAAATTATGTGCCCTGGTTGCAACTCTGTAAAAACACACTGAGGCTAGAATCTGGGCAGTAGTACCCTGACAGCGCTGACAGTGATATATGAGAGAGAGGCTGGGTTATGGCAATGTTTTTCACCCCTCCTCTCTGTTTTTTTTAACTATATTTAATTTTATTTTTAATGACCAGAATTTTTTGAAATGAAATCAAAGAATCTGAAATTGGGTTATGAAATCATATCTGAATCTGCTTTCCTGGCACCGAATTTTAGTTGAAAGTTCTGAGGAAAACTGAGTGAGTGAAGAATGTGATCTTGATCCTAACAGCCTGATCTTGAATCATATCACTATCTGTGTAATACATTTTTAAACATACACTGTATTTAATATATTCAGTATAAAAAGAAAGAGTTTTGTAACCCTAGTCAGCCAAAAGCAGTTTGCGTTTCCTATTACAGTTCTTCCTGCTGGACTAGCTTGCGTTACAGCTAAGTGAAGGAAAAGGGAAAGGTGTTTATTACAGGAATTTCTATGAAGTCATTGGTCTCTAAAAAGTCCCAGGAAGCACAATCTAGAAGATTTTTAGGAAATTGTTTGTGATACCATTGGCAAGTTTGAGAGGAGATTATTTTAGCTTCACATTCCTCAACAAACTAAGACATTTCCTTTGCAAAAGGTGATTACAGAGTCTTAACTCCCTCCCTCAGTTTGTCTCACATTGTTCTTGTCTCCGACTCTCCAGGGTGCCGTGTTAACTCCCTCAATGGAGCACACCATGTCACTACAGCCTGCATCTATGATCAGCCCTCTGGCCCAGCAGATGAGTCACCTGTCACTAGGCAGCACCGGAACAGTAGGTGGCAAATTAATATCATGTGTCTTGGCAAACAGAGGAGGGTAAATTAATGCAGCCTATGTCTTACACATCAGTTACAGGCTCTATGATGTCAAAGATTATGTCTGATCCCTTCTCACCCACACATTGCCTTCTGCATAGTAAATACTCAGATATTTCTTAATTAATTGATGAACTAGAAGTCTGTTCTCTGGGTATCTCTCCTTTATTAGAATATAGCACCCATACATGACCACACCTAGCCCTAATAACTAGTGACATTGATTCACACGCAGACCTGGTCTCATGAAGCAAAAGATGAAGGTGATACATCGTGGTCAAGGCAGGAGATTTTTCCTCACTTTTTTTTTATGGAATTTGGGGGCACTGAATCACCATCTTAGTATCAACTTATTTCCCCAAAGTCCAGGGGACTCAGTTCGGTATTGAGGTTGAGCTGACACCAGGTTAACTTCCAGGGTTGGTATGTGTAGTTTTAGATGGTGAGATGGCCAAAGGCTTTTAATTCAGTCCACGTCTATGGTGGCTTAAAAGAAAAGAGGGTAGTGTGTTTTCCCCGCTTACATTCAAAACCAGAAGCAGCTTCTTGGGGAGGCTAAACCAGGGCCCCACACATCCAGTGAGATCGACTGGCAAGCTCTCCTGCCTTTGGAAAAGGATGACTTCTGCGTCAGGAAAGCAAGAGTCTATTTCCTGTTCCACAGTGACCTGTTAAAGATCTGAGAAGTCATTTACCTCTTGGGTCGCCGCCTATGGAAACAACTCTAGATACTAGTTTAGGGGGCTGCTGGAAAATAATCAGGTCCTTTGAGGAGAGATCTTCTAAAATAGCACATTGGTGACATTGAATTATTGAGGATGAGAAACCTTCATGATCTTCACCCAGGTGCTTCTTTGTTAGGAAATCCAAAGAGAGGTGGGATTTTCAGTCTGACAGATTCAAAAAGTAGAAAACATTCACTTTGCTTCCATATGACGTATTTATGTGCACAAATTAAACTGTGAGGTAGCCTGTTTAAATTTCTTCTTTGAGACTTCCAGATACTTGACATCCCATCTCAAAATTCCCCAAGGGCTCGGAATTCTGCATGGCTTGTCGTTGCCCATCCTGACCATCTTCTTCTTTTCAGTATATGCCTGCAACATCAGCTATGCAAGGAGCCTATTTGCCACAGTACACACACGTGCAGACGACAGCGGTTCCTGTTGAGGTTGGTACAGACCATCCAATGGCCATTCTGGCAATGAGTAGCTTCAGAAATGGGTAAATTAGATAGAACTCAAAAAAAAAATATCAATCAAAAGTCAAACATTTGCATAAAGAGTTGAGTTTAGAAGGGAGTATATACCTAGAGTTATTTTCAACTATGAAATATAATTCTCTGCATACAATTAGTGTAGCAACAGCCAAGCCACGCGCAAGACTCCCAGAAATATTTTCCAAGCTTGTAGCACCTTTCATACCCCTTCAAGACTCTGTCTTGTCTCCTGTAAAATGATGCTTACAGGCAAATTAAGATAAAGCTGGAGTTTGGAATCCTAGTATCAAAGATTATATCAATAATAATAATTATAAAAAGAAATCAGTTATAATTAAGATGCTTGAAAAAACTGATGCTTCAGAATGCAACAGGGATGGGAACAAACCATACCTGTTTTTATAGAGGTTGTTAGTATAGCCAAATAACTTTTAGTTCTTATTATGGAAGATACTGATATGATATTGATAGGGAAGAAGTCTTACATTTGAATTAAGATTGGACAGAAAGTATAGCGTTTTCCTGCAAAGTACTCTTAAAATTCCAAGGAAGTTTATCAACCCGATCAATCCCACTCGCTAGAGAGATCCCATAGGTTCCAATTCCAGAAGCAGCCCTCAGACTGTGACTGGATTTGGGAGGGGTTCTTGTTTTGTTTTGTTTACTTCTGTTTGGTTTAAATTTGTGCAGTTATTGTTAACCACAGTTACCAGAACCCACAATCCCTTATCTATAGTTCTGAATCACACAAAAAAAATCCGAAAAAAATTCTCTTTGTAACTGCTTGAGCAAAAAACCGTTATAACCTGTGGCCACAAGCAGCCTGAACTAATGTCAGACAAAATCTTTACCCCATTTACTGTGCACAATCATATCTTTCAGTGTAGACCTGTTAATGTGTTTGATTATGAGGTATAGCCCTAGACCCCACTGGGTATATTCTGTGGATATTCACCATATAAATACCATATTTCAGATTCTAAAATCTGAAAATACTGAATTCCAAGTCATTCCTGGCCCCAGGGACTAAGAGATTGTTTGATACATTGTAGCTTGACATGAAGAGACAACTCATAAAAGTTGGGGTGGGAGGTTTCTTTGGGTCTGTCAGACATTTTAACTCCTTAGGGAAATAATTAACCCTGAAAGCTCTACATGGCATTAAGAAAATCACTTTTAAAGAGTGCTTGTTTGTAAGCTGTTGGACTCGGTCAGACCTGCATAGCAGAGTTCGGATTTCATTGCTCACGTGTCTCATCTGTTCTGCTTTGTTGTAGGAGGCGAGTGGCCAGCAGCAGGTGGCTGTGGAGACGTCTAATGACCATTCTCCATACACCTTTCAACCCAATAAGTAACTGTGAGGTATGAGGGGAAGGTCTCCAGGACTGTAGGGCTCAAGTCAGGGAAAGTGTATGATTCTTTTATCGAATGGTACTTAAACTAACTGAGATTTAGTCACACTGCTCTAAACATGGCCAAGCAATCCAGTGTTACTGAAATGTTAAAATCAGTGATTTTGTGGATTTGCAGATTGAATATTCTGTCCAAAAAGAATAGTGCCTTATATTGAAGTCAAATGTATATTTACTCTCTCCCTCCCTAACCCTCGTAAAAAATTCTGTAACATATCAGAGAACACCAGCTACCCAATGTGTTCTACAATACATGTAGCCTACATTTATATTGCTTTAATGCTCACAAACTGAAGGAAATATAGCATAAGATGTTGCCTAATCCAGCATTACAAGATTAGCAATATCTTGACTATGAGTTTAATGTCATTATCCTTAGATTGGGAGATTGTTTTCCCAGCTCTCACGTGGACCACAAGTCTCAAAACTTTTCGCTTTACCATGCCGATTGCAGTAAAATAGCTGTGTGGAACTGAGAACACCTGGGTTTCTGGATTGCTCTGGCAAATGTATGTTGCAGATCCCACATTTGAAAGGTGGATTTGAGGCATAGAAAGCAACCCTCAGTTCCAGAGTTTGCATTTGTTGGTCTACCACCAGAGATGAGCAAAGCCTTTTTCAAACACATATATCTTTAAAACAAGAAAGCAATTACAAAGCTCTGTGATGTATTATACCAAGTGTACAAAAGCATTTGTGTTTTATTTTTCTCTTCCAGATGTACAGAAGGGTGTTCTTACATGAAGAAGGGTGTGAAGGCTGAACAATCATGGATTTTTCTGATCAATTGTGCTTTAGGAAATTATTGACAGTTTTGCACAGGTTCTTGAAAACGTTATTTATAATGAAATCAACTAAAACTATTTTTGCTATAAGTTCTATAAGGTGCATAAAACCCTTAAATTCATCTAGTAGCTGTTCCCCTGAACAGGTTTATTTTAGTAAAAAAAAAAAAACAAAAAACAAAAACAAAACAAAAGATTTTTATCAAATGTTATGATGCAAAAAAAAAAGGAAAAAAAAAAAGAAAAAAAAGGAAAAGGAAAAAAAAAAGAAAAGAAAACTTCAATTTTCTGGGTATGCACAAAGACCATGAAGACTTATCCAAGTGCATGACCGGATTTTTGTGGTTCTGTTCATTTTGTGTTGAATTTGTGTTTTTTTCAGCTGTATGAAATGGGCTTTCTGAAGTTTCAATAGTCCGACTTCACCCACCGTGTTCTCTGCTTGCAGTGCGAGTGTTGCTGTAATTCAGTGTTGCCGTCAGCGTCTCTTTTCTTAGCTTTCCGTTTTTCTTTCAACTTAGTGTGAAGTGTCTTATCCTTTTCTATGAATTCCAATTTGCCTTAACTCTTTTGATGCTGTAGCTGTTTCAGTAAAAGTTAGTTCAAACTAATGTAGAACGCTTTGACCAAATGAGCTGGTCTATTATGCCTTGTAAAACAGCAGCATAGGGCTTTTAAAAGGTAGTCAATAAAAGTTGCTGAAATTTTGGCTTTTTTAAATATGTAGTAGGTGTTTTTAATGATTTTTCACATAATGTGTAAGGTAGTGAAATGCAAGAAGGGAAAAATGTTTTGTGTGAAACACATTTTCTGACTGGGGAACTTTTCATAGGGTAAATCGTTTGTAAGGCTGTACGCCAACAGTTTCCTCTGATAGTTTTGACTGATTTAGGATATCTGCTGTATGATGCAATGTAAAGTCTTTTTTGCCTTTTTTCAGGAAAAAAAACTAACTTGATGTTCTAGATGTAGTGTAGGTAGCGTGGGGGCTAGGGGCGGGGGGCGGGGGAGGGGAGTCACCGAATGTTTCGTCCTTCCTTTATACTAATGCTAGTGCTTTAGAGTGAGACATGCCTGCGATCTGGCAAACCGAAAAATGTTGCTATTGCAACGAAATGGCAGAAGCTAAAAGTAAGGATTTATCTTCAAACATAGGCTGAGATATGAGTAGAAGCAGAACGATTGGCTACTAGCTCGCTCTCTCTATTCCGTAAATTCGAGAAATGAAAATGACTTGGCACTTTTAAAGGTAACTTCACCAAAGACCGAAGAGCCAGTAACCAGTAGCTCCAACTCGTCTCAGCGTCGCATCTTCTGTGCTCTTTATTTTTGCCGGACCAGTTTGCGGTTAGGAGAATGTGCCTTTTTTGTACCTTCGCATTTAGGTTTTATAATTTTAACTGATGTATGGACACACACAAACAAACAAAAGCATGAAGGAAGATTTGGATCCAAGCAGTGCCACACTTTACATCATCACTACAAGTGTTAAGTGTAAAGAAAAACCAATTTTGAAACTATGAAATTCCTGAGTCATAAATACACAGTTATTTCTACTTTAGTACATATAAGATAATTCACTGTTATTAAAGCTCTTTTATTAAGACAATTGCATACGTTTGAAAAGCAATGGTAAATTAAGTTGTCTTCCAAAACTGTGTACTTGTCTGGTCAACTGTGTGTGATCAGTTATCTACCTCAGAGTCTATTTTCTTTTGTGCTGGGACAGGTTGCTGGCCCTCCCTGTTTCCACAGACCAAATCCTCCTAGCTCAGGAGCTAGGGCTAAGCAGTTATTTCTTTCGAGTATTTTTTAGTTCTTAAATTTTATGCTTGTATTTGATTATAGATGTCAGTGACATTTCATAGTTTCAAAAGTCCTTGCTGCTCTGAGAAGTGTAGATTCTAGTGAAAATTACATAGTCATAAGAGAAATGTGTTTTTGTTTTTGTTTTTGTTTCCTTTTTTAAAGTTGTGGTATTATTGGTTCTATGCTCCCTGGAATATTACTGCTTTGTGACAGTCCAGACTGAACGCAGCACCCTCCTTGTACCTAGTACATTTATAAACCTGGGTCTCTCACTACTTGATATTTTTGCATTAGTTAAGACAGAAATTTGATAGCTCAGTTAGAGGGGAGGGGAAGTCTGCTGCTAGAAATGTCTGAACTAAGTGCCATACTCGTCTGGGTAAGATTTGGGAAACATAACCTCTGTACATAAAAAAAAAAAAATCAGTTAAACATCACATAGTAGACAGCCATTAAATTATAAAAAAAATTAATTTATGAAGAAAGACCTTTTGTACAGATTGAAAAAAAAAGATTTTCATAGAGATATCTATATGATCAAGAGAGTTAATTTTTTATTTTTGTTTTACTAGTGCCACAAACTTGCCAGTGGTAACTTATTTGTCCGGTTCAAGATAACTCTGTAGTTTTCTTTCCTAGGATTTGTTGTTAAACGCCAAAAGACATTTTTGAACTGTACATTTGATCAGATTGTTAGCTTTTTCTGTTTTATTTCTTTTGAGAACCTTTGAATAAAAAACATCTGAAATTTTATTTTCCCTGTCAATTTCTTTTAAGTAGAGTATATCAGAATTTCATTTCTGATCTCTTTCTTCAGCTCAGTAGATTGGTTTGAAAGTGACTTGAAAATTATTTCAGATTCATTGTGTACTCAAAATACATTTCCTTGAAAAGAATTGGAAAAACCTGCCCACCCTCTTCTTTCTGGTTATTTAAATCTGTGTACAGGGACCAGAGACATCAGCCATCAGCTCAGCACATTTCATCTCAGCAAAAGTCTGCCTTTGGTCTGTTCTTAAAGACCAAGGGCAGGACCCCTCTGCTTCCTCCTTCCTTACTGCTGTCCTATGACTGTGGCACTATTTGTCATTGCCCAGCAAGAAGGACAAAATAAAAACAGTGTCCCATCTCTGGTAAGCAAGCACGCGGGTAAGGATTTCAAGAAGACCTTCTCCGTGCCTTGAGACCAAGGGCCTCCTTTAGGGACCTCATGTGGCTGCTCCCAATAGGAGCCTCCAGTGCAGCATTCATGGAGGAGAGAGAACTGTCTTTCCCACACTCATGTGCTCTATGGGAGGCACTAAGTACAGGAAAGTGACTCCTTTTACCCAAGGCAGATTGAACCTTTTAGTGGAGCTGTACGGTATTCTTTTTCTGCTGCCCAATGGCTCCGTCATGGTGGTGAAAGGAATGGGCAAGAAAAATATCCATACCCTCCATTTCCGTATGCCTCCCCTGCAGTGTGGATGATGTGGAATGTGAATTAGGTAAGTGGGGTTTAGAGCACTTAACTTGCCAGAGCCAAGAAAGCACTGGTAACTCAGTGGCTCCTTGAGAAAGGGCACAGGGTCCTCTGATGATAACCACTGCTGCAGAGAGAAAGATGCCGGGCAGGAGGAAAGTGTGGCCTCACAAAGATCACCACAGGCTGCTACTAATGTAAGCCGGGTGGCCTCATTTTCTGTCCCAGCCTTGCGCTGTCCTGGTGCTGCTACATGTGACCAACGACCAAAGGCAGGAGAGAAATGCCATTCAGGCTGCTAAGCCCCATAGGTTTGGTTGACCTTTTGTTCTCGTTTTTTAAGAAGGATTTATGTCACTGCAGTCCTGGGACATCTGGTAGCTAGCTGCCTTTACGCGGAAACTGCTAAACACTTTTTCAGGAGCACCTTTTCCATCTGTGCGCAAGGGACGAGCAAACCAGAGTGATGATGGTTCAGAAAGAGCTGTCATTCGCACATAAAAAGAGGAACTGAGGTGCCTTTGGGGTTCAATTCCACCTTGCAAAAAAGTTGTGGTTACCCGGGTCACCATCAGGAGCCAGGGTTTCCTCTTTGTCTGAGATGGGCTGGTACCCAGCATCCGAGGTAGAGTTCCTGGGTTGGAGGGGAGGGAAGAAGCTCTAGTAGTTGCTCCCTGGTTGCATATTTCCCCTTCTGTGTCAGCTGGGATGAGGTAGTCGTGGGGGGGGGCGGTGAGGGAGCCCTGTTTTCTCCCCACCATCCATGCCCTTCAGCTGCCGTGGTGCTCAGTAAGTCCACGGGAGCCTGAATTCCACCTCCTCAAATACTGATTAAAAATTCACTAGGAGGAAGGTGGTGCCTCCCAGCCCAAGTGGGGGCTCAAAAATGTTCAGATCTGACTGATATCCTCATTCCACTGGAGTAGCCAAAAAGGAAAAGATCCAACTAACTTGGGGTAAAGGTCACAGACCTGTCACCAGCCGCCCACCCCCTGCCCCAACAGAAAAATCTTCAGAATTTGTGAAGTAGGTGAGGAAGGAGGAGAACTCAAAGCTCAGGGTTTAAGAAACCCAGGCAGTTTCTTCCCCTTTAATAGCAGTGTGATGAGGTAATCACTCCTCAGTCATCACTGAGAACACGGGGCCCCGCCGGCAGCCTGTGCCAGATGGCAGTGGGGAGTGGGGGCTGCGAGGTGAGCGCCCACGGGTCCCAGCCTGGGGTTCCTGGCACAGCTGAGAGGTGGTGCCGTGTGCCCATCCCTTCATGTGGGATGAGCTCCGCGAGGCAATGGAATTTCAACCCTGTGAAATGGCTCCAGAGTGTCTGTTGTGTACACCCTCTGGGTCTTTGGAGGGCCAGGGAGTGTTTTATCTTTTGCCACTAGAGGGAGGATTTTGTTCTTCACCTTCAGCTGTGAGCTCTGAGGCAGGAGCCCCGGCCCACGTGGGTGAGGGCATTGGAGGGGGAACTGCTGGTGGATATTCAGAGTCTTCTGGCACTCGGTGCTGGGGATGATAGGGTTCTTGAGTTGCGGGTTAACGGTAAGAACTGACACACAGATAATCACTGTTGCCTAAGGCTGCCAGCTCCCTCATGGAGAGCATTGTTGCTCAGACTGGGGAGTAACTTAAATGGGACTTTCAAGGCTCAAGGAAGCTGGGGGCAGGGGAGGAAGCCAAAAGCCTTGCCAGACCTCATGACTCGGAGGCGCAAGAAAGCGCTGGCAGGTCTCTGCGCCGCTCAGAATTGAAAACAGGTGGCATTGGATTAAATACAACAACTTTAATGCTATTCATTTTTTTTAACGTGACTCTGAGAGACTGAGGTTTGATTTAGATTATTCCGTTGCTCATTTACACAAGATACGGATCATAAACAAGACTCTGCATGTATCTCCTACCCTCTAGGCTCCCTGAAGCCACTTCCTCTTCTTGAACACCTCCAATGACGGGGCACTTCCCACCTCACCTGGCGTCCTGTATGTTTTTGGAACAGCTCTCAAATTTGCTTAAGGAGTCCAAATTGTGTCTTTGTATTTTCTACTCATCAGCCTTTG